TTTAAGTACCGGCATCGCATATGTTCGCATCACGCGGTCGTAATTATTAAAACAATAATAATATTATTATTATTACTAATGTATATTCTGTTCCGTGTGGTACGCACAAGATGGGTACGGCGCGGCTAGAAAACCACGACAATGATCGGAATAAACAATGAATGGCACCTATGTCTATAATATAGTCGAAAGCCAAAAAATACTGACAGAATGTTTCAAACGGATAGCCGGATAATAATAGGATATAAATGATATTATAATAATATATTCGTATTTAATTATACATTATACTTGCGAGTTGCGATCATATTCTTAATTTGCGTATACTCGGCACACGGTCATCACACCGTCGCCCGTATATACTGGACGATTATTTCCACAGGAAACTCTCATTACCTCGAAAAGTGTAAACATTTAAAACGTTATATTTCTAACGCGGTTTGAATTTATAGCAAAAAAAACAATACCATACTGAAAAATTTACATTTTTAAGTGTTTAGTTTTATGACGATACAGTTTTTAATTCTAAATGTTAGATATTTTTTTTTAACCCTAGTTACCCCTGTTCTCGATTATGACACCTTAAAAGCGACTAATCTCCGGTTTTCCACATAGGAAGTTTTATCAATAGAATTGGATAAGTTGATTTCAAAGTATTTTTGATTTTTTTTCTAAACGTTTTTCCATGCTGAATATTATGATAAAATAAACAATTTACTGTTTTAGTAATAACAAATCGTAAAAAGTCCATTGACTCTAAAATAGTGGAACATTTGTTAATCGCCCACCCTTTCAATGGGTTATTTTACTTACCTACGCAACAGTCAATTCAAACAATCAAAAATAAAAACAAGTTTTTGAAATTATTATTTAGTCTACACTTATGGATTTTTTAACGTCAAAAAAATTATTTTGATAATATGCTTATACATATATTATATTATATGATTGCATTCAAGTCTAAAATAGAAAATGTTATCAAGGGCGTAACTGAAAGCAAATTTCGGGGAGGGGGGCAAATTTTTTTAGTATAGATACTGGACATTTATCATTTTTACGCTCATGCCTCATAATATTAAAAATTCTTTATTCTCGATATTACTGCTTTAACAAAAATATAAAATTATTCTTAGTACAATAATAGCCAATAAACAATATTCACTGTTGGAAAATATCGAAGGGGGTCTGGACTTGATGTCTTGATTTAAGGGATTATAGGATGTCGTCACACCGAGATTGTTGTGCACTTGTGCCACGTGTTTTCCTCGAAGATCTATCTCGAACAATCGGATCAATCATAAACGACGGAGCTGAAGCACCAGCATAAAAATCATAAAAACACAAATACAATTCAATGATGAGAAATCGATGACTTTTTAAAAATTATGTAAATACATTATACAGTGACAAATTTGCAGTGACAAAAACCTAGCACGGGCCACGAAAATATCGTTTTTGTTGATTTGTTCAGACTTCCGTTTCCGTGACTCCTAACCACACTGGGACAACCAGTTATCAGTAAACGATGAAAAAAAAAACACAATAGATATTTTTGTACTTTACAATAATTTGAGAAAAATTTTATTTAAGAAAAAAAAAATACATGATAATATAACTACATAAGTATTGATATACGCGATTATGAAATAAATGTTCAAATAACGTCTTGGTACAATGTCATATTATGTATCAAACAATTAATAATATAAGGTTAAACGTTAAACCGTTTAATAGTTAAAGTATTTATTATAGTGATAATATCATAATATAGTATATACCTATTATGATACTACAATTATATGATAAAAATTATTTTAGTGATATTATGACGTCATCGCGGTACACGATAAACACATTGTTAAGTGCGAGTACGATTTATGGCAATCGTATACCAAACAATTATAAATACGATCATTTATGATAGCATGTATAGCAGGTATACTAATATTATGTTCTATGGCAAATGCGAATAATATACAGACGTGCATATCCCGTATGTACTCTGAGACAGTTAAGGCATAAACTGTATACTGGCCAAAGAAAAAACGATTTTGTTTTATACAAATTGTTTTTGTTTTTATTTTTAAAAACATTGAGAACGTTATTGTATTAATTTTCGTAGACATAAATCTCAAACAACAATAGCTGATGAGATATCGCGAATAAATCGTACACGCACATAAACTACGTCATGTTGTACGGCATTGACGACGAAATAATAATATATACAATGGCTCGTTTTTGACGGAGGGAGAGTGGTGGGATTATTATAAGCACGCGTACATTACCGAGTACATGGGTGGGCGGTACGCACAACAATTTTTTTTCACGTTTTTAACAAGTACAAAACGGGTCCCGTATTATGTTTATATTTTTAATATGTATTGGATACGGGCGTGTACTCGTGGTAATAAATTACATTTAGAAATGTGACCGCAACAAATGGGTATTGGTCAACTGAAAGAAAAACTTTAAAAAATATTACAGAAGCTAATAAAAACCTTATAAAAATAGTATGATATAAAAAGCTAAAAGTAATTAAATAAAAATTAGGTACTCGTAACAGTAACTTATACTTATAAGTTGAATAATAAAACCATCTCCGGAGAATTGAATTTACTCGCATCATAGAATGTCTTGTTTGTTAAAAGTTGTCTTGAAGTCTATTTTCTCAACGATTCAAGTGCCATACAGTTCTGTAAAAAAGTCAAATCCATTAACAAAAGGTTTTCATTAACATTTTATAAAAATCACTACAATGTATACAGGAATAAAAGAGGGTAAGTGAATGTCACTCTGCTGTACAGTAGGTTACAAGTAGGTCACTGTAATGGATGGTGTTAAATTTGAATTCAATGATACAATACCATTGTATACGAAAAACGATTCTGAGCGGAGGAAGTTTGTCAGCCTAGGATATTTTATTTATATTTATACTGTTATTACTAATATGGTAGCCGGCATAAGTTTTGCATATTTTCATTATTTTTAATGCATATTATATGACATATTTCAATACTTTTTAGTGCATAAAAATCTGCGCTCTACTTATGACGTGTATTCGGGTGTACCGTCCTCTTAATTACAAAATCATTTTAGATTCTCAGCGGGGAATAGGTATATTGATTTACAATTATGTGTTTTATTTTTTTTTATAATTTTTTTTTTTGTGTCTGTCATCAGTCATCGCAGTTTTGGGCAGTAACACTGCTTCGATTTTTTTCAAGACTTAAACAGTATAATGTTTGATGGAAAAGTGATTGCAGTTGAGGAATTTTGGAGGGCAAAATTTAAAATTCTCAAAATAGTTTTCAAAAGCGCAGTGAAAAACAAATCAATAGTTAGGAGAAAACGGTAATTTTTACGAAAATCGGTTTTCAACAAAATCGATTTTGTTTTTGGTGTAACTCTAAAACAAATAACCGTAGTTAGATTAAATTGTCACTGTTTAAATTAGCATTTATTATACACCATAACAATTTCAAAATATTTTGACTTGTTTTGAGAGGTTTAGGGACATATTCAGATTCCATTTTTTTTTTTTAGTTTTTTTTCTATTAATGTCAAGAAAATCACTTGAAAATGTAATACATGGCTCTTACTATATTGTTACGATGAAGGTTGAAAAATATTAAAAATACACTCACACATTTTTAAAGTTCGAATTTTGACAAAATACGTCAAGATCTAGAAAATGTGGAAATTATTTTGAGTAGAAAATTCTTTAAAATTATTCTTTTTAAATATAAGATTTGAAAATTTAATTCAAGATTCCTCATGAGTTTGTCTACTTTTATCAAAAAAATAATGTCTTCCTGAAAGTCAAATTAAATTTTCATGAACGTTTGAAGTTCAAATTTTTACAAGATTGGATATTTACTCGATTTTTCATGTACCTATAGCGATTTTCTTATTCTGCTGTAACTAAAAAACGAATAACTGTAGATACTTTAAATTTACACCATGTTTATTTTATATCAATTTCTATACTTGATAACATTTTCAAAATATTTCTACTTTAAATCTTAGATGTAAAAATAAAATATTTATGAATTTTTATTTCAAAATAATTTGCAATTTTTCGTGATTTTTTACGTGTTTACTATTTTATCAAAATTAGAACTTTAACTGCTTATAAAAAAAAGTTATGACAGTATTTTTAATATTTTTTTAACTGTCAATGTAACAATATATTAGGAGTCTTGTATTGAATTTTCAAGTTCTGTTTTTGACATGTATAGAAAAAAAAACTAAAAAAATTTCCGTAAACCGCTCAAAACCAGTTAAAATATTTTGAAAATTTAATCGTATTTAAAAAATTCCAACATAAACATTCAGTGAAAATACGGTACCTATCTTATACAGTGATACAATATGCATTTTTTTTTAGTTACACTTCCACCACAAACCATTTTGATTTTGAAAAAGTTAAACGATTATAATAATGTAGGTAGTAGGTTTAGTACCTACTTAAAATTATTTTATAGAATTAGATGGAATTACAATTTACAATGAATTATTCAGTACATTTTTACTGAGGTTTGATACTTAATTTTGTTAGGACGATCCTTGTTTGATAAATTTAAGTAAAACAGCGCGGGTTTTTTTTTCGAAAAAAAAAGCAATAACAAAATGCAACACCAATTATTGTAACACATTAATGATTATATAAAAGTAAATTCAAAACTAACATGAAATTTGAAAAGCAAAAAAATTAAAAAAAATTCTGTGGCAGCGGTGGGATTCGAACCCACGCCTCCGAAGAGACTGGTGCCTTAAACCAGCGCCTTAGACCGCTCGGCCACGCTACCTCCGTTACATTATTGTTGAATAAGGGGTTATTTAACCAGACGTATAGTGAAAATAACATTAAGTTAAATAAAATAATATAACATCAATAAAAACATGCCTGGCAAGTTAAACAAAACAATTTGAATGAATTGATTTGTCTTTAGTGATTAAATTTGTGTAGAATACTTAATATTTAAATAAATAGGTACTTACAACTCGTTGTTGATATTTTCTAGTGTTTTTAAATCATTAGATTTATATTGGAACAAGGTGACATGTAAGATTTGGTACTGATTACCCTAAATAGAAAGGAATATAATTAATATTAAATAGTTATTAATTTAGTCATTATATGTATTTTGTCAACTGAAGTTTGGTTTTAAAAAGTTTATTCATAGGTGTGGACATTTTCAAGTCAGTTACAAAAATTTTACCCGGGTCATTTTTATACAAACAGCCCACCCCTCACATGACCATTTAGATATAACTTATAATTTATAATCTTAATGTATAGTAAATATTACAATTTATGATATATTAATATATTATATTAATCTTGGGTGTAACCTGTAACAAATCCAATAACTTTTGTTCTGAACAATATTTTTGAATTTTTTTTTATATATATAATTTATTGACGTTTCCGTTACATGACATGGATAATAATATAAAATATTTTATTTTTATTTTTCAATAGCCTATTTGTAAATCTAGTTTTAAGAATTAATTGTAAAAACATTTCTGTAGGGATATTCTTTTAAAAAAAAGTTAGATTTTAACAAGTACTTAAAATTCTTACGAAATATTTTAAAAAGTTTCAACTCAATCAACTTTATTCAATAAAAATAATGAGATATCAAAAAATATTTAAAAATAAACTACACAACTTAAATAAATGTTATGAGTCAACATTTTTCTAAAAAATAGATTTACAAATTTTCTAAAAAAAATTACATCAGACTTAAATCTTTTTATTTTCAACATTAAAAAATAAAAATGTTAAATGATACATGTAACACAAGTGTCAACAAATTATATAAAATATCCCTGTTACAGCCTGTATTTCACTGTTTTAATACTATATCTAAATGATATACTCAGGCCCGGTTTAAGGCGTAAGCAGTGTAGGCTAAAGCCTACAGAACTATATCAGATATAGGGGCACCATTCACAAAACATTTTTTAAATAATACTTTTTTCGATACCCCCTAGTATGCCTGTGTCTTATTATTGTAATTATAAAACTTACGAATATAAAATGATCATCAACCACAACCAAAACCGGCTTATCAATATTAATGATTTCCATAAATGCTTTTGAAACTTCTGGTGCAATTGAATCAAGTTCATTATAACCAGTCAAACAACACTGGATTGCTTGACATGGTAAAGTACAAAAATTATAATTCAAAAATCTTAATTCAGTTTTAGGTATATTATTGTCAACATTTCCATAGTCCGCATAAATTACCTAATAAACATTATTTATAATATATATATTGTAAGCATATAAATATATAATTAATTTTTTTCTAATGTAACACTTACTTCAACGGTGGTTGGATTTACTTTTAAAACTTTAACTCGGTACCACTGATTTGAATTCGAAAATGAAGAATAAGATGTTGCATAAAATAAACCTGGTAATATTTGATGTGGTTCAACCAAATAATTGTTACTTTTACTTTCATAAGTATATCTAGAAAAAAATAAAGAATAAATAAAATAGTAAATGGTTACTATTGTATTTTTTAATATTTACTGCATTTGAATCCTTAAATGGTCCAAAAGTTCCAAAGGTTCCAATTGTAAAAAAAATAAACTTGGATTATATGTACAAACCAACCGCATTATTTTTTTGTCCTTATTAAAAGACAATATTGGCTGTTGTAGATTTGTAGTAATTGTTTCATTATTTAATTTAATATTTTTTACCAAGCAATTCTGAAAATATTATATCATTTAGTTAAAGGTAAATGTATTCAGAACACCAACAAGTTTTCTTCTGTCTTACAGAAACATAACACAGTAAATGTACCGGTAAAGCCATTCTATCAAAGAAGTTAAGTATTATTTTACCGAAATAATAGTTGTAGGTACATTCAGGGTTGGGCAATATTATTGATACAATTATATGAAGTATCGAGTATTTCATAAAAGAATTTTATCGAAAGATACTCGATTAAAATAATTTATGTGATACAATTCTGCTTTTTACTATCAAAATTAATATTTAATATTATTTTATATTAATTTTACAAATACAAATTAAATAAGTTATATCTGTAATACAAGCGCATTGTCTTTACTGTACATGTCTGTACCTTATTAGTTATTAGATATCTGTAATGTGTACATGTATCAGTCTATCTTTCCTGTGACGGCGATAAAATAGGTATTACTTAACAAAGTGGGTATCCCCACAATAATAAATATATTTTTTAAAAAACCTGCGACTAATTTTATTCAACTGTATCGAGTATCTTGTATCGTGATACTCCAAAACCAAGTATCTTGTCCAACCCTGGGTACATTTATAGATAGAGTATATTAGTCAATAGTCTTGTTATAAGTTAAATCTACTTTGTATTACAACCAAATTAGCCTAATGAGGTAAGTACAATGTTCTTTTACATGTGAAGATAAAGATAACAAAATATGTGGTTATTGTGTCTTTTTTGTTTTATGTATTCTAAGTTTTAATGATTAAAACTTCAACCAAAATTGTGTATTTACATTGTAATTTTCTAAATTCTCTTTTTCATTCAATTCAAACTTATTTTTTGGGTAGAATACATTATTTCGCACTTCAGTAATTTTATCTAATGAGTCAAACATCTGTTTAATTGATGAAACATCAAAATCACTAGGAGTGTTGTACAGTTGCTGAAATCAACACAAAAAATAATATTAAGAAGGCACAAACTGATATAGTATTGAAATTATAGTACAAACTTACGGTATAAATGAACTTAAAATTCTCAAAATTCACACCTTTATCGTACACTTTGAATATTCTCTCAATATTTAACTCCACTAACTTAGGAGTATGACTTAGGTTTCCATTCAATATTATTGAATCTATGTTTGAAAATAAAAATTAATTAATATAGGTATTAAATAATATTATACATCAAATAAATAAGTATCAACATTATTATAGATTATTTAATAGTATTTATTCTTATACTTATGCAATATATTATGTATAGCTTAAAAAGTTGAAGTTCTCCTAATGAGTATTTTTCACACTACCAAAACATGTACAATAACTAAGATCACGCTGTAATAATACAGTTTTGTAATACATAGTATAAAATAAGATTAAGTTAACATAATTAATTAACTAACACATTAACAAAAAGCTTTTAAATAATTGAAATTAATTAATATTACATATTAATTTCAACTCAATAATCGTTCAACAAATTACTTATGTAATGATCCTGTACAGAGAATAATGCGTCTCCTTATTCAGAACCCAATCTTTTAGACTATAAGCCTTAGTGAAACCCTAATATCAAACATGAAAATCTTAGTTCAGGACCACAATATTAGTTTGTTTTAATTTGTTTTATCCGTGTGTACATTACGCATTGCTGTTAATAAATTATACATTATGTATATATATGTTATCTTTAAATAATAATTAAAATTTGTAAAATTTCCGTCAGGCGTTGATTTATACTAAAAATAAAAATATTTATTAAGAAACAAGCATTTAATGTGATTTTGAAAATAGTGGTACAGTGGATTCCGCTTAATGTGGGCAATGTTGACCAGTCCCGTTTGCCAACTTTAAGCGGTTGCCCATTAAATCGGAAATTAGTTAAAACAAAACATATGTTTTGGGACCAGACATGTTTGCCCACAATAAGCAGATGCCGTATTAACCGGTGACCACATTAAGCGGAATCCACTGTATAGCACAAAACTTTTGGTGAATAATGCCAAAATCACTAATAAAAGCTCATAACTAGCATTAATAACTAAATAACTATTGTTAATCAATTCAATAATCTATATTACATCACACTACCACAATATGAAATATTACATCTATAATAATTTTCCATTTAAAGAATTAAAAAGCATAAAAAAAATAAAATATTATAAAATTAATTTGCTTAATAGCTCTTCTAGTTATTTTGAATTTGACAGAGATTCAACTTGATCTTCAATAAATTGTATGCATAGATGAATGTACAACTCTTAAGCCCAAAAGCTTGAGTTATAAAAAATTATAAAGACACCTAACTTCATACTTAAAACGATTAAATGAAAACAGATACTTAATAATTTGTATAAATTAATAAAACAACTACCTATATTTACCATTATTATTTTTCTTTGGAGTAGAATGCAGAAATGAATTTGAATTGTTTAAAAAATTATCACCGTTCATCTAAAAAATATTAAATTTTTTTATATAAGCAGAATTTATTATTGATAAAATGATTACTTTAAACATAGGTGCAACTAGTGTTAACATTCTAGGGGTGGGCTATAGCCCACCTTACAAAACTAATAACTTTAAATATCACATACAGGGCTTATATCTTATAAGCTTATACCCTATAACTTTAAAAGGAACGTTTAATGTTATGGCAAATGCAGGATAATAATAAATTACTAATACTTAACAAAAATATTTTAAATTAGTGAATTTAAAACACTTATTAATCCTAACTGAATGCATAGTATTCAACTATGGGAAAATGAAAAATTACCCAACATTAAATAAAAACTTTGCATAATAATACACAGATAAAATTAATGCCGTTAAATTAAAATTAAAAACCGTTCATGAAGAAATATAATTAGTTTACATCTCGATTTAATTTTTTTTTTAAATAAATAATTTTTAATTTTATATTCCTCTAAAAAATCTCATATTAAGATAGATATTTGAACCAAAAATGTATGTTGGACTTTCTTAATGTTTTTGTTTGAATCAATAATTCTTAAATACTTTTAATATAAATAAGAAAGCCATAATTTTGTCATTCATATTAAAAATATGTATTTTAAAAAAAATATTATATCTATATTATATTTGAACCAACTGATAATGTACATTTTATATTTCATACTTACAGAAATAGAACTCGACTGCAATTTCTTTTCATTTACAAGTCTTGTACAAACATTTTTATTATTTCTTATTTCTGATTGACTTTTTACATGTTCAATATTTTTTATTAAACAAGCTTCAGCAATATCAGAATTTTTATCTGTATTATTAAAACCACTTTGAAATGATCTCATCAAACTTTGATTTTTACACTTGTCTATATATTCAGTCGAATGTTCAATTGATGCATCATTTGTTTTACCATTCATTCCATTATTACTATTTTTAAATCCATCAACTGTTAACCGTGAAAACAATTCAGATAATACATTTTGATCATTACATTCATATGATCCTGAATCGATTAAATTTTTAGTATCACCATTAATTTGACTCAAAGCTGGTATATTTGGTGTTGAATCTGGTCCTAAAGGATTAATGTATGCATTTGTAAAATAAAATGTATTAATATATTTCACAATATTATAGTATATTACACTGTAATAAATAGAACATATGCATTTCAACATTAAAATAACTATAAATGATAAAAATTGATAACTTAACAACTATTTTTAACTAGCAATCTTGGTGTTAAATATCATCGTTTAACTAGGCGGCCAGGTTATAAAATAGGCCGCCAATTTAGTTTCTGGAGTTTAACACTAGATTTGCTAGTAAATTAGAGCAGAATATTTTGTACCACAGTGAGAGATCTATAGTATTTATAATCAATACTAAAATTAATATTTTTATAATCATAAGTTAATTTAAAACATAAAAACATAAATTTGTACTACTAGTAATAATAACAATTAAAATGAAAATCGCATTCTTTTCTGAATGATCTAAAACATTGTTTTCCAAGGACCAAATGTGTTAAGTTCATCAAAGAATTAATAAATAAAACTAAACAGTACTATTTATAATCAATGTCAATAAGTACCTGTGTCATGGTGTACCCGTTGTATATTAGATTTAGAGTGAAGTGAATGTTTAAAAGAAACGTTTTCACCATTTATATCTAAAAAACCTTTTACTCGATCTTTTAAATCATCCATACTATGTATGTCCGTAACCGAATAGTCAGGATGCTTTTGTACTATTTCCTTTAATTCATTTAAAGTTATCAGCTGAAAAAAAGAAGAACAGAACTAAAAATAATTTCTACTATAGAGTTTAAATGTCGGCATAACCATGTTACCGATGTTAACAGTTTACAAAATTAAATGTGTTATAATTTAAGTTAAGTGCCTTAACCCTTTGACGAGTATTGACATATATTTACTTAATATTGTAAGTATGTCCTGTAGAGTAATGACGTATACTTACGTCAAGGCGTTGAGTTATGGTTATAGTGTCTATTGAATTTTAGTGATTTTAATTATTTTTGTACAGATTTTGAACATATAATGAAATATATGCTGACATCAGTCATCTAACTTTTCTAAAAACGTTAACTAGATTAGAACATAAATGTACTAATACAATTATTTTCTATATGTATAAGATGTTGCCTATAGTGTCATTATATTTCACTCTGTGGGTGATCATGGTAAAATAATAATTCAATTGTCATAGGGTTAAATACAATTAGGTACCTATAAATAATATATAGGTAATTAATAATTATAATTATGATGTATTAGATAATTTTCTTAATTTATTCTTGCACATATTTATAATTAAAAATTTTGATTTATATTTTAACCAACTGATGGCCAAATAATCAAAAGTTAAAACCTAGTAGAAAGATAGATTAGGATTTTTCATTAGTTATAACTAGGGCTCAGATGTTTATGAAATTGCATATTTTTTTCTATTCGTCCAATTCAATACTAACCTGGATACAAATTTATTTTGTGTTCTACTGAATCAAATAATACTATTTTTACTTTGCATATTTTTGCATATTTTATGGTTTTGTATTTTAATTACATATTTTGGGATTTCATAAATGCTTATTTAGGTACATTTTTTTAAAAAACAATTTAAATTAACGAACTACACAATTAATAATACAAGAGAAACCCTCAAAATGGCTAATGGAAAATTAGGAAAAGAAATTTACGCCAAATTTCAGAGCGTAATTGAAAAAAATAATGGATTTAAAACTTTGGTACAAATTTCAAAAATACATTCAGGTGAAGTTGATAGTATGGAAAGAATAGAAGAAGATTTGAAGGTTGAAGATCTTGTATTCTTCAAATATGCTCCAATAACATTAGTTGATGTAGAACAAAGTTTTTCACGCTACAAAAATGTTTTTACGGATAACAGACGCAATTACAAATTTGTTCAAATAAAAAAAAACCATAGTAGCACAGTGTAATGCTAATAATGTAATAATAAATAAATAATAATCTATAATCTAAATTAAAGTAAATAAAACGTTATGTAAATTTAAAAATGTATTTTAAATTGTAGTAAAAAAATAATAAATAAAAATAACTACTAGGTATAAAAATATTATATTTTTGTTTTATGGATTATAATAATTTTTTTTGTGCATATTTCAGTGTTTTTATTGGCTAAAAATGCATATTTTATAATTTTTAGAGGATATTTTGATTGCATTTTTTATAGTGCAATTTTTTAGTGCATAAATGTATACAGTATACATATTACAGTAGTTTTAAGTGCATAAATATCCGAGCCCTAGTAATAACTATATTTAAATGCAAAATCTCTACTAATACTAAATACTACTAATTTTTAGTTTAAACTGCAACATATAATAATATACTAAAATAATTAAGAAAAAAAATATCCACAATAACTTTTATAATGTATCATCATAATATACTATATTCAAGTAAATAAACATGTAATTACAATAATAGACAGTAATAGATTTCTTAACTTGAATATAGTATAGATTGGTTTCATTTATACTATCTTGTAATTATCTGTTTTATTTAATTAGTAAAGCACTAACATATTATATTTAATTTTGATTTATTTTATGTATAGTCACTAAACTTATAGTAGTATAGTGTATACTTAAGTCAAAATGGAAAAATAAGTTTTTAGTAGGCACTAGGCATGTTGTGTAATGAGAAGCCAATAACAATTTAATAAATGACTGTTTCTCTGTCACATGAAAGTTGAACCAAATTATTACTATAATACAAAAAGTTACCATTTTATTTGCAATTATGTATCTTTCTATATCATAACGTAAGTTATCCGTCACATAACCATAACTGGAATTGGCTGTATGGCTAGTACCATTTATTTTCGTATCAGAATGACTTTTACTAGATGATGAATATGACTGGTTTAATTGATTTGAACTTATAGAATAATTCTTGGATCTAGGATAGTCACTTCTAGTATTTTGATATTTGTTGTTTGAATAACCGTTGGTTGTAGTAGGCATCCTTTGATTATAAGAGTTACGTCCAGAAAAATTGTTATGTCTATTATGATTTTGATGTACTATTCGTTTATTCGAGTTTGATTTGCTTCTCTTTTTTTTAGTATTCGATTTTTGCTTAACAACAAGCATTCTTAAATGGTTAGTTTTATCGCCAACGACAAGAGATAACATAGATGATTCATTTGGGTTTGGAGGGACCTAACATAAAAAATAAATAAATATATATTCATTAGTTAGTATTTAGTTTTCGCAATAAATAAAAAAAAATTTAAATTATTTTATTCTTACAGTTACAACATCGGTCATATTTTTAAGCAATTCAATGACTGAACTAAAACCTAAACTTCTATAAGGTAAGTTACATCCTTCTTGTTCACGGTAATCTCTTTGAAGCTGTAAAATACTGAGTGGTTTTTGCGAACTGGTTAACAGGCTCCTTACGTTGATTTTGACTTCATTTAAATCCATTGCCATGATTATACGAGATTTATCTAATTTATAAGACATTTCTATTGTTAATAAGATATTAAAATAGGATAGAAGAGCATTATTATAACACATAATTTTTTAAGAATATTAAATGAAACACAAGAATACTTTGTTTTAAAATTTAGTCTAAAAGTAAAACTGTACTTAACATGTACTACCATTTTTATGATATTTGGACATTTAACACTAAACAATGTTTTATCGATATCGGACATTCTACACCCAATATTTTTAGTACACGCACTCTGAGTGACGACTACAGCCTTAATAAAGTTTCTGTTGAGAGTAAGTTATCATTAATTTAATAGTTAGATAGAATAAAATAAATGAGTTTAATCAAAGTAATGCAATTTAAAATCAAAGTTGACAATAAATTACATTATTTTTTCATATAAAATGTATGAACGGTCAGAGATATATTTGTGTCCTATGAAAAGAAAAATTGTAATAAAGGTAGTATAATAACTAACTAACTAACTAACTAACCTTACAGACAAGTCTAAACCAAAAAATATAAAATATCAATACCATTCTCAAACAATTTTTGTATTACTTCTAAAGTTTACACGAGAAGTGATTAAAATAACAAACGAAGGTGCTTGTTTAATTCCAAATAAAAATAATGTTAAAATAAATTTAAGGAATATTTGTAATAATGCATATCCAACAATTTTTTCGAAAGAATATGACGTTTTAAAAGGCAAGTGGACAATGACGGCAAGACTTCATCAGAAAAATTTTTTATAAATCAATTAACAGTCATGTAATTTTTGTCCAAAAGGACTTTATCAAAATATTTAGGTATTTACTTCAAGTAATTTATAAAATAAAAGGTACTTGTGTTAAATGTTACCTACCAAAAAACTGTATACATACAGTATGTTACCTACAGGAAAATATGGCATACCTACTCATCCGTGTGTTATAATTGTATTTTATTTTATTATGGGAATGTACCTGTGGGCTTGAGTTATTAAGATAAACAACATATTATAACGGTCTTCGTAATAGTATAATAGCTAAGTATGAATTACACATTTATACTGGTAACTATGTGGTTAATTACCAGTAAATATCCACCAGGCCCTATAATAACTTACTTTAAGATATTAAATTAATTAATTTTGTGTTGCGTCCTTCCACCTTGCAGTGTTAATCACTTAAGCAACAGATATGGAAAATGCTGGCGGTCAATAATTTAAAGACAACATGACAGTTATCAATATATTTGAAGTTTTCTGGTATAACGTAAACATAGCAAAACATAGCATAACAATATATAATGTATTAAAATATTTAACAACAGGGCTTTGCACCCGAACGTAACCCAAAACCCGAATTAACCCAAATAAATATCATAACCCAAAACCCGTATACACAAAACCGATTGAAAAAAATTAACACCCAAAAAAACCCGAATTTCCATTCAGGTTTACTGGAAACCCAAATTATTGACAATTAAGTGGCATATCAATTTGTATGTATTTTTTTGCAACTAACACGACTAAGTAGATAAGAAGACAGTAGTGTAAGTGTGTAACGGATAACTAAATTAATTTTTTTGTAACCAACAAAATAATTAATTAAATATTAAAAAAGACCTTGATGCTAGAAAATTGTTTTATTTTATTTCACAATATTCAGTAATAGACAGTAGTAATATTGTGTTGTTTAACATTCTTAATCAAAAATAAATATAAAGAAAATACGTTTAGTTAAAAATTAAAATATGTAATAAGTGAGAATTTTCTTCTGTAGAAAAACTAAGAAGGACTGAGTAAGTACTAAGTAATAACTAATAAGTATTAATATTTAATTTAATTTTTTAATTTTTTTCATTATGTTTACTTTAATAAAATCAGATTACTATATCAAATTTACATTGAAAATCTCATGTTAATTGATATACAACATGAGTTTTTTTTTAACACCCGAATTAACCACAATCAACCCAAATAAATTTGCATAGTAGGTATGCCCAACACAAAAATTAAAGCATAAATGATATACAAATTAAAGGAGATGTCTTAAAACAATTGAATGCACCTTAACCTGTGGTAGTAGCAATAAAATAATTGAATTGATCAGAGCAAAAACTGTTATGTAGCCTTTTTTTTTTTTAAGCGCTGAGTTAATTTAATGCTATAAATGGTAATTTAACATTATAAATGACATACGTTGAAATACAGTATATGAACTTACAGATTATTTAAACGATCCAATATGTAAGCTGTTCAAGTCTTTGTTCTTATAGTGATCAATGATCATCAAAACAAACACAAATTGAAAAATTGTGGAACGGCTTCGATTATTACTTCAAATTTCATGACATACAATTTTCCGTTACCTCGTCGACGTAAGGACGAGTATGAGTATGAATCAAGAATTCCTTACGACCATGGATATATTATACACTGTTACGGTTATAACCATAGATCAAGCAAAATACGCCATTCCAAACCAAGAATCCAGATTCTTAATACTACGAGAACAAAGATATAAGTCGATTTATAACTTCAAAAGTGGTAAAGTAATATAAATCTATACCTATTGTTTAATTGTTATGAATGTATAAACTTCGTTGTATATTGTAGTGTGGAAGAATTAAATCCATAGCTTCGTAATCTGTCCGGAAGCATTATTAGGCATTGTTCAACAACCCAGGACGCCAGGTGAATATTGAGTAGCGACTTCAATCTTGCGTAGTCACGCACTTGCGTCCAGCGAGTGCCGAGTTGTAGAGACTTGTAACATGAACTAAGATGGTAAGTCTATCTTACTATTTTAGTTCATGCTTGTAACTTGTAACCTTTTTGTTTGTGCCTACTGCCTTTGTGAGTTATCACCGCTCACCGGTTTACCGGTATGGCGCTAGCCGCCATGCGGTATGGATCAGCTATGGAGGTGCAACCTGTTCTCAGGTAACTGTTTAACTGGCAACTGTAATAACTGATAAGGATAAATATTATGATTGTAAACCATTTTCTGAGACACGATTGAGCATAAAACACCTTTTTTGGGACACGATTGAGCCAAATTGTCGGAGTATCAAAGGAAATCAGAATACAAAAGAAAACCTACACGATTGAGCATAAAAAACTCTGCACCGTTGCCATTTTCCATTTTAAACTATATTATACAAAAAGATTTATTTAAATAACTATTATAATTCAAAATATAATTATATCAAAAAATAGATATTATATATTACAAATTTGAAGTTAGAAATTTTATAAAATTTAATATTTTTGCTTCGATGAGCTATTAGTCAATTTGTTGTACTTAATTCAAAAATTACTAGCTATAGACTTGAAACTTTTTTCTATTTTACATAATATTATTTTATACACACACGACAATTTTTAAAATATTTGGACTAAATTTATAAATATTTATATATATATATAATAATTAATAGTATAATATATCCTTTGAAATAGAGGCTAGCAATAGTAGCAGTTATTAACAATTGATCATTTGATTCAAATTTAAAACTACAATAACAGTGAAATACTCAACTAACTATTAAGAGGTTACCTACCTATACTATATATCAAACAAACTTTTTTTTTAAATTATTAAAGTAAGATTAATGCTTAATTTAAAAAGTATATTCTAAATCATCATCTGGAATCAATAAAGAGTTTTTGTTTTTACTTTTATAGTTTATACTTGAATAAAAAATATATTTTAATTTTATACATTGCCACTTTACTTTTTACACAGATTGGAATTGATGTTTTTTATGTTTCTCAGTACACATTTTATGAACTGTAGTTAATTTTTCCGGATTAATGATTATTATTAACATATCAATATATCATATCATATTTTACTGGTTTATTCTTACAATGTTAATTTATTCCCAAGGCGTTTGTCTACAGTACACATTTGTACTATATATAATATACATAAAAAGTGAGTGCTGTCATTGGACACTCGGTAGAAACGAAGTTTCTTTTCCAACAAATATTACAAATACATTTTAGAGGAACCATTCAAAATAAAAGTAAATATCAACAAGTAAATGTGAAAAATAAATGAAAATGAAAATGATTATTATTACTATTTAATAACTATTATATTAATCATATTCAATAATCGAAATTACAGGCCTGTGATAACTGAAATATGATAAGTATGTTTGTAGTGTAATTTTTTCCAAATGTCTTGAAAATACTGTATCGATGTCATCTCTCTTTGTAGATTCTGCTGGATTGTTTATCATAATATGTAAATTGAATGTGTCAATAAAGAAAGTTTTTAAATTTTTCGATTTCTTATCATTAAAATTGATGTTAAAGTCACCGAATTGTTATTGGCGATTGAAAGCTCATCAATTATAAGGCTGGCGTGGGTGGATCTGTAACAGGGAACATGTAAAATAACATATAAATGATACACAGCGTCCCCGTTACACTTTCAAACGCCAATAATTTATAAATTATAACAATTATAAATCTTATTATACGCTGTTTCAAATCCTCGCGTTATACCCGTTTTCTACTACCTATAGTCCATACCAAATGTGACGTACAAAAAAATTAAATACTGCAAAGGTAAAGCAGGGCATATAGGGATATAATATGCAACAATCAGATTATTCTACGAAAACTATTTCTTGAAATAAAAATGTTTACGTGGCATGCAACTATGCAAGGAGATGATAATGTGTATATAAGATGGAACCAAAAGTATATGTTTTGTAAGGAATGTGGTATAGATTTCAGTGTTTGGTTGTGCATGGAATACTAGGTATATATAAGCATTTTTGAGGATTTCCACTTTTTCGCCCGGCACTATGGTGATTCCCACTTTACCGCTGGACGGAAAAAGGTCGCTTTCCAACGCTTTCAACCACGGTAAAAACCAAACTTTCGGCAAATTATATTACCTACGTACAATTCAATACTCATATATATATATTATATAATTATTACATATTTATTTTATTGATCATAGCTGATCCCGTGCACTTCGTTGCC